TGATGACGTATCATATAATAAGGCAGACAATTATAATATAATATAGTAATTATTTAGTATTGCGAGTTATGAATAGACAATTTTTCCCTGCATTTTTTTATTTCCTCTTCCTACATATTTTGGTTGACATTTTGGTCTAGATTTGGCGAAAAAGGATTAAATTTGCAATTTAATAGCAGTTTTGGGTAATACTGATGATATTACAGTGTCTTTCTGCAGAGCAATCATTATGTCGGAAGTGAGATTTTGACCCCAGTCAACATCAAATCCCCGTAGCGAAAAATCTAAACGGTCAACCCCCTACGAAATTATGATGAGGAGATTATCAAATGCGGTCCCCTATCTGCCTATAAAGATTAGAACCAACGGAATGTTGAGCAAAAAGCTAGAGCCTGTGATGTTACAGCCATTTAAGTCAATGGGCAAATAATTACTAGTCCATATCACGATTTGATTAGGTATACAGTTTGGCTCGGTTCTATGTTTTAAAAGTAAAATGATAGGCACGCATTATATACCATACGGTTTTCAAAATAACTAAATTGACAATTAATAATAATAAAAAATGTTGAAAAACCTGTTACTTACAGAACTGGAGTAGCATGATAAATCATTCTCGACTGTTATAAAATTGGTTCCATATATGAAAACAGCAGTGAATCGAATATATAAGATTGTCGTGCAAAACGGCACAAAAAGAACTGTGGTAATATCCTGGTCATGGGCTTACCAAAAGGAACTTGTAACACTATCGATTTTTTGCCACAGCTCACCAAATCCTCGCCTTCACGTTGTTTTTCAATCTGATTAAAACACAGATCCAATTTCGTTTCGTTTTTATAGTTCAAAATTTCGATTTTACTTGTCTTTACTACACTTGGATCTGGATTCGTTGTTATTTAACTCGTGTTCTGCTTGAAATGAGGGGTCAGCCAATCAAATGGTCTGTCGAATCGAGCGTTTGACCTTTTTTGCGCGAGCTGTGGGTAGACATTAGCGGCAATAGAAATCAAAACAAAGCAAAAGTAGATAAAAAATACATGGCCGTCGCTAATTTGTTAATCGAATGACTGACGTAATCGGGTCAAATGTCGCTTGCTTGGTACATTACGTCATAGAACGTGAACTCCCACTATAACTTGTTAGATCTACATGTAGTGTAGGCCATCGAAAGTATAAAAAACGAAACGAAATATAGATATATATTTTAATTAGATTGCGTTGTTTTTATAACAGAATACACCACAATACAAAGTTTACAGCAACTATGCTATTACATAATAATGTATAATCATAAGCAATAGTCTATAGGAAATCTAAATAATGTCAATCCCTTAACTCGCTCGGCCGACCTTGAAACAATTTCCAGATCTACCCGTCTTGTCTGAATAAAATCACGCCCCCCCCCCCCACACACACACACACACACACACGCCAAACGTGATTTATCAATCTGTCCTAATATGGAATCTGTATAAACAAAATTGGAAACTGCAACCAAAACTATAACATGCTGGTAGATGTGTCTAGAAAACACCCTGTTACTTATATATTATGCTGACCGATATATAGGCCTGCAGCCAAAATTTCTAGCTTGCTTAGTAACACATTTCCGCTACATGGTTCTCCCAAATAAACAAACTATACATTTTTGGAAAGCTTTTAACACCAGGAACACAAAGCCAAAGAGTTCCAAACAAAAAGTCTGCACTAACTCTATTTAGAGCCAGATGGAAATTGTGATAATTGTCAAGTAAATGCTATATTTATACTAATAATTGTGAAGTTGACATAAAATTAAATGTTGGCGAAAACCTCCGATGCCTTCATCCTAGGCAAAGAACACGCTATTGGTTAAATTTTGATTTAAACCAAAATGCAGAAAATATAATGGACAAGGGAACATACAGAATTTTGGAAATCCATTAACGGTAATATAGAGTTATCTCCCTTTCTGTCAAATGTTTGCAATTGGTAATAGTATTTCAGGTGCGTGTTGACTGCTGATGCTGTATGACGCACAAGACCATGTGTGCACACAAGCCCAATGCTTATATAGTTAATTGGGTCACAGGGGACGGGACTGCAAGGGTTGGTGAACGGGTGTTTACCCAGACCAGAAATTATGAGCGGAGCACCTAGTCTGATGAGCAAGGAGATATGTTTGACATTGGATGAGCAATATGTCTATGAAGTAATGGATACCAGACTATGTCCGTAGTTTTGTAAATCGCATTGAAACCACATGATTTTTTCCACTAAAACATAAACACACACCAACATACCCTTTCAATTAGACCCTACGTTATTTTTACTACAGGTAGCTGTAAATCTCTAGTTCAGATATTTAAGGCCGAATTAAAAACATTTAAACTGAAATCGTATTTATAATTGTGGAATTTGCTTATAAATATAGATTTAAGACAAAAATTATTTATTGAAAAGTAAATCAATTATTGAAAATCAAAATTACGCAGTTACCCTGCACTTTAAATGTCATCAAAGTTGGCCGTTAAAATCATCACTGTCACTACATGTATAAACATCAAGTTCAATTTCTTTAGTAGTCTTTTTGTTTCATTTTCACATTTACTACACTTACACAGATTAGATAATTATGTACATGTACAAGACAACATCGGTGCGGTATCCCCCTGTCAGTGGTACGGGATGGGAGTGGGCTGGAAGGACAATGCCCAGTCGTTCGGATGGGAGGGAAAACAATAGTTTAAACAATATTTGATTCAAAAAACTGACTCGGATTGAACAACAGGTAAGGGGCTACATGGGTGTAGGGGGCTAATCTCAGTTGGGGGTGGGTTGGGGGCTGAGCCTATTTGCCTGAAAAATTTATCACCCAAATTTTCTGAATGAATCAATCATTAACTACGATGAATTTTCCACAAAGCTGTGATGGTTGTTTATTTTAAATTAATTACACAGATATACAATTATATTTCCATGTGATATGGTCGCAATCCCCATTCTCTGAAGCTTGTGCCCGAAAAACTGAAATACATTGCCCGAAAAAAATGGACGGTTCAACGAATCTTAGAGGGCGGGCGGGCATATAAGCTCTCCTAAAACAGTATTTCTACTGTAAACTTTTAGTTCAGATTAGATTTGGGGCTAAATTTCTAACAAATATTTGAATTGAAACAAAGCATCTATATGTAATTTTCTCACTAAAATATAAATATATGTAAGTGAGTGCCAATTGTAATGAAGAGAAAAAAAAATCAACCGTCATAATGAAGATGTACATACGCCCGCCATACATTACGGTCTACTCTTTATTTCGAATTTAAAGTTCTTTTACGTGCACGTCAACCTCAGTTTTATATTCCATCCAAATAACTGGACGCTGCCCATCACAGCCCCGCGCTTCCTGCACCACCGACAAGTGGAAACAACGCTGGAAAGTTTGGGGAACTGTCTAGGTCAACACAGGGATCAAACCCCAGACCTCCTGATTAGTGAGCTACGGACAAGGAGAAACATATTAGAGACTTTTGGCAAGCGTAATTTCCTGGTCCGTATCGCGTATCCGTATGGATTTTGCGTGTGACGTCATCAATGTCTGTGTATTTCTCATACGTGATACGGCACACGGATACGGCAGCGCGTATGGAACGGCTTTCATACGGAAATGTTCCGTATAACACTGTCGTCTTTTTACCGTCGTTTTTTTCTACTTTTAGACGCTGAAATGTTGCATCATAGCGTTTTTATAAATCTATGTGTATCCTAGAACACGAAGGTGTATATTTGATGTGATTTTAACAGTGATAACGACTGGAATTTAATCATTATTTTTGATGGGTTGTTCTCGGAATTTTCATATTTTTCCCGCCTGTCTGCATACTGGTTGATCTACGGGCTAAATTTTCTGAAATGATACATTAGTGAAACCAAACATTTCTAAAATCTGCCAAAACTCTAAAACTACATTGACGCAATGTATCACGTATACGATACGGATACGGGATACGGATGGGAAAAATCCGCTTGCCAAAAGTCTCTATTAGTTGTACACGTACAATGCCCCCCCCCCCCATTCCCACTCAAACAATAATGTATGACGTACGCCCATTTTCATGATACGGGTTGGTACAGAACAGTAAGACATTAATCTCCATTTTATATTTTTTCTCTTCATTACAATATTGTCAATCCCTTTACAGTACTATTTAGTTTTGGCCATATCTATTTTAGTGAGAAAACTAAATATCTGTAGATGCTATGTTTCAGGTTAAATATTTGTTAGACCTTTAGCTTCAAATTCTATCTGAAAAAATGGTTGAACTTATATAGGCCCTTGTTTGTAGTTAAATCCTTTTACTGTTATCAATAATTATTGATATTTTCCATAAAGGGAGATAACTCCTTTTACCATATATGGATTTCCGAAATTCTGTATGTTTCCTTGTCCATTAAATCAAAATTTAACCAGCAGCATATTCTTTGCAGAGGATGAAGGCATCAGGTGTTTTTACAAATATTTCATTTTATGTCAACTTCACAATTAGTAGTATAAATATAGCATTTACTTGACAATTATCACAATTTTCATCTGGCCCCCCAATCGAGTTAGTGCAGACTTTTTTCTTGGAACTCTCTGGATTTGTGTTCCTGGTGTTAAAAGCTTTCCAAAAGTGTATAGTTTGTTTGTTTGGGAGGACCATGTAGCGGAACTTCACGCTAGACATTTTGGCTGCAGGTCTAATAGTATTAAAACAAAGTAATTATACAAGTTAAGTACACAAGACTAGGTCAGTTTTGTTATATTATTACATACATAATCTAACAGAAAGTCGCATATACAAAGAACCAAACCCAACCGAACACAACAGCGGCGATCACAAACTTATTTTCCATTTGCCTTGTCCGCAGGTTTGTCTTGTCGGTTTTGTTTTGCGTGTAGTGCGGTCCTCCTGCACTTAACTAATAGAGCGTGATATACGCATATTCAATTTCGTGTACTAAATAAAGAGAAGTCGTTGAATTATTGTTAAATATTTATTTTAGTAAGATATACGTTCTCTATATGGAACAATACTATACAAGATTCAGAATTAAAGCAATCAAACAAAACATGCAATAAAGATTAATATAAACATAGTCACATATTTTAAAAACCAAATAGGCCTATAACAATAATAATGTAATCACAACCTACTTTGGTAACATTTTTTTGACAGAATTTGCAAAATATATTACTCTTTGAACATGGATTCACACAAAATATATATTATTATAATATTTCGCCGACAAAGCTCCGTCATATAAGAACTGTTTTGGGGTCCAAATAGATGGAATACCTTATAGTGATTTAGGCCTACATGTAATACGTATTCTCAATATACTGAATATCGTATTTTTTGTACTTTTGTAAACACTTCACCAATGTATACTTATATATATTTATACATTAAACCTACCAAAAGCACTACTGGAATGATATTTTCCTAGTGTGGAAATGATCATCTTTTTAAAATACATATTTAATTGTGCATAGTCATTGTCTAGTCAAGGCATTTCAAATGCAATCAGTAGAAATCGGTCCAAATCGTGTGCATATGACACAATCGTAAATACTTTTTAATATTTATATAATGCAGAATAACAGGAAATAAACAAAATTATATTTAAAATAATAAAAATCTCATAAATTATATTTAATTAGGAATGAGGACATTCACTTATAATTATTTATTAGGTTTATTGATATTACAAATCTCAATCAATAGAAAAAATATTTATGGGTAACACACAATGTTGAATTGAGCAAATGGTATTTTCAAATTAAAACAATTAAATTGACATTTACAGAATGTTTTATAGATTTAAATTTTTTAATAGAGATCAAATTTACTATTATCTCAATGCAAAATACAAAAATACTTTTGAAATGCCAGATTTACATGTAAGATTATACTTTTCATTGAAACATTACAATCCATACAGAAATATCGTTCTTATAATAAACACACGAGAAGAAAACAAATAATTATATTTATCTATACAATGAACATATTCAAAACTTATTTTAAATCACTATAGGATACCATTCAAGAATATACAAGCCTACAGTGAAACAGATTGTCCCCTCCTTAATTGTAACATAAATATGTGACACATATCTTAGACTATAAGCAGAAAATGCTTATGATTGAATTTAGTCAATGTTTAGATGCAGTGAATTGAAACGCCACGTTTCAGCACATAATTAGAATCAAAGATATCATGCTCCGTGTCCCAAAGCATCGACCAATCCGATTGCTTATTTCAGCTTAGCTTCAGCAGAAAATATTCATCATTCAAGCAGGCGATACGTTTCAAGTCAGTAGCTTGAAGCGTATATATGGTATTAGTGTCAGTGGCCTGTGGAACGAAGTAACAGTATATTGTCGCATACATAATATATTATGTCAACGCTTGGGCGATATAATATATTATGTCAACGCTTGGAACTAGGATGGAGGTGACTAGGCATGAACTTGCAACGATAGATTTAATTGGCGCTTTGATAACCAATGAATGCTTTGGAGACATATTTTGGCGGTATTTTCCATCATGGAATCGGTAAGTTTCGATTGTTTTTTTCTTTTCTGTTTTTTCTCTCTTTTCTGTGTCCTAACCCTAACCCTAACCCTAATCCGAAAGAAAAGTGCCCTTTTTTTAAATTCTGACATCACAGGTGCCCTTTTTCTGATAAGGATGCCCTCTTTTATTTACAGGGACACTTTCTATTGTTAAGGGGGTGGACCGGTCCCCATGGTCCAACCCCTGGATCCGCTCTGATGACGCGTACATTCCACTGAGTCTACAGGTCTAATATGCTAACACGCTTGGAGCGTCAACACAATATATTATGTCGCCCAAGCGTTGACATAATATATTATGTATGCGACAATATACTGTTACTTCGTGCCACAAGCCACTGACACTAATACCATATATACGCTTCAAGCTACTGACTTGAAACGTGCAGGGTGATTCAACTCTATCAAGGTCACCTAGAATACACCTACACCGAGTTTGAACATTTTAGCTCAATTAGAAACAGAGTTAATGTATCCCAAAAAGCAAGTCGTACAGACAGACGAATGTGTTTTTAAAGTCCCCTGCTTTTTCCTAAAGTTGGGGTACAATTTTCCTGCTAAATCATTATAGGCCATAAAACGTGTATAGTTACGCATCTGGGTTCTAACAGTTATACATTACTAAAGTCGACCTCATCAACTACTAGAATTTGATCCATTTACTTATTGAAATGGATCATTTTAACAAATCTAAATGAAACGGGTAATGAACATGCCATAACTTTGGTTTGAAACTTTTAAACGTTGTGGAGAAAATGACACATGTGCTTAATCTATAATTCAGAAACATAACATCTTAACTATAATGATATGTAAACAAATGCTTACATTTCTGATACACCCTTCATATATTTTATGTATAGATTTTAGCAGACATTTTAGATTGGGTTTTAAAATGATAAATGAAATGAAATGTTTGCAGCATGAAACTAATGATTATGATTGATACATACAAGTTTATTATTTATGATGGATTTATCTAACAATGGATAATATTTTTATTATTATGATGAATAATATACAACTATATATATCTAAACTATCATTCTGGTGGAGCATATTTGCTCGGTGCTACCTGTAAAATCAACTGTAGAAATGTTGTAAATTTATCTGAAATGAAAATAAAACGTTCTGTAGGTCTGGATGTATAGTAGAAATAAGAGACCGAATCTGGTGCGATTTGTCTAGACATTTTTAGTCATAACAATAAAAATCATACTTGACTCATCAGCTTTAGTAATAACAAATACACCAATAGTCCGCCCAGAAAATGTATCTTTCCCTGTCCAGGGTAAGTTATGCTGCATTCTGTATTGACGCCCCTTTCATCAGTTTTTATTATTTGGAGGACGTTTGATATAGTATTATGTTATAACAATATGCTCAAAAGAGCAACACACTACCCAATGTAACAGACGATCATCATGTGATAACATTCAATTCTATGCTCGAAAAACATAACATATAAAAGCTTGGAATATATCAAATGGACTTACCCATTCCTGGTAACTGGAGTTTAAAATGAACAAATGGAACATAGAATATCATTCCACTAATAACAAACAAAAACGCATATAGAAATTCTATCTTTGGGTTGTCTACAATAGGCCCAATTATCAGGTATATAGAACACAGTAATACAAACACTGGGATGAATATAGGAACCTATTTGGGATTGAAAAAAAAACAACAATCAAATATATGTATATAATAATAGATTAAAAATACCCTTTTTAAACAGTTTGAATAAGAAAACAGATATAAAACTTAATGATGGTATTTCTGTTGATGGAATGGTCTGCTTATGCAATGTTCGATTTCCCGGTTGTACGTGACAAGGAGTAGGGTCGCCTGTCCAACCTCGTGGGTTTTCTCCGAGTCCTCTGCTTTACTCCCACTGCTAAAGGCCCCTACGCGCTAGCGAATTATTGAAAATAAAATTAAACCATATGTTAGTCCCGAAATGACCTACTTTGTGACGTCGTGGACGTTAAACTCTCTCTCTCTCTATCTCTCTCTCTCCTTATGCAAAGTTTATGACAAAGAATAGTTTAAATGAGCAATGCTTATTGCCAACACTTGCTATTAAACAAAGTAAGAGAAAGGGGTAAATATCATGGACGAGTAATGTCAAATCGACAAGGCCTAGTAATAGAGTATATACTATCCTTACTTATATTATGTTTCGTGTTTATCATACCGCCACAAGGACTGTGCCTTTTGCGCAGTGGTGGGATTTACCATCCAGGTTTGGCCAAAAGTATGCAGTTGGTAAATCTTGTATTACCAACAGATGGCTTGATTGGCTGGAATCTGCGGGTAAAATTAATACGTGACGCTTCAATCATCAATGAAAATTCCATTGAAGACCGGATTCGTTCTCCCTTGTTCCAGTTTAATGACAACATACATAACCGAGTTGGTGTATGGTAATGGTCAGTCTAATCATTTATTTCTTCTTCGCAACCATAGATTTTAAACTTACCTTGTATGGTCTCGGTTCATTTTTCTTCGTAAACCTAAGAACTATAACTGCAAGCATAGTGGCACCATAAAATAACCAGGCAGTAAAACTGAAGAAGTCTATGAGGGTGAAGATATCGCCGGGTATAATCATAAGCAGAGCTATAAAGGACTGAAATTACAAAGACAACCGATTGTTGTAATCGCATTGTGATATGCTATATATACTTTACATTACTTATACTCTTCCCTTTCTGACAGACATGGATAAAATTGTTATGCTTTATGCTTCTAAATACACTTAATTCTGCTAGATTCTCTTATTTATTAAATTGATTAATCATGCCATTGCTATGAAGATTCGAGTTACTCAAATAATACAAATAAAAACTTACAGTAAATAATAAAGATGGTAATGGTGTATACTGTGTGACATGAACATAGGACAGAATTTCTGGTAGATGACCTTCACGTGCAGCAGCATACACTAATCTAAATTGAAAATTAATTAGGTCAGACTTAAAAACAGACACTATAAACCCATCGCGAAAATACTAAATAATACCATATTTAAAATTGCCATATGATGATCGCTCGTTAAACTCCTTAAAGTTTGGAAGTAAAAACATCTCCGACCTCCGATTTTACATACAATGTAATTTGAACATCCCCGATCCTCGCTCGGTTAAGGTATGGAGACGAAAACCGAGGTCCCGTGTACACATTGGCGTACACGTAAAAGATCCATTGACAGTTGGAATTCGATATAAGAGTAGGCCGTAGTGCCGCTGTCTGGGCAAATTTCGCTCATAGCAAACTGTATGGCCTATGTCCGTCTTCATTAGCCCAGTTCGGAGCAAACCTGTAGGATGTGACATTAAACCCCATTTCATTTGCTTAGCTAAAGATAGGTTGCCAGGCAACGAAACATACGCCCACAGCAACTAAATCGTCCGGGCAGTCAACAAGGGTTGTCGCATATTTTTACTTTTTTCGGTAATGAAACATTTATAATACACTAAAATCTGATTAAGAGCAACAACTCACGAAGTAATTATCAGAAAACTATTAGAATTTGTTTGGTTTTTATAAAGTTCTGCCCCATGCTAACGTTTTGGATGCAAAGTTTTTAATATCATGGATTTAACTGTTCAAGTCATAAAAATTCATTGAAAATCAATATACTTGTTCGTCTCAAGATCTTAAACTCTGTGTATCAATCTGAAGTCAATCGGATGATAACTTTAGCCTTTAGAGCGTCACAAGATTTTGCAAAGTGATCAAGGGCCACAACCATGGCAGTAATTATCGGAAATCTCTGAAAATCAATAGGCTTTTTTTCGTCTCATAACCTTAAACACTGTGTATAAATTGAAAGTCAATCGAATATTAACTTTGGCCCCTAGAGCGTCCACAAGATTTTTCAAAGTGATCAAGGGCCATAACTCTGGCAGCAAATATTGGAAATCGATGAAAATCAATAGGCTTCTTCGTCTCATGACCTTAAACACTGTGTATAAATTTAAAGTCAATCGAATATTAACTTTGGCTTCTAGAGCATCCACAAGATTTTTTGAAGTGATCAAGGGCCATAACTCTGGCAGTAATTATCAGAAATCGCTGAAAACGAATAGGCTTCATCATCTTATGACCTTAAACACCGTGTATAAATTTAATGTCAATCGGATATTAACTTTAGCCTCTAGAGCATCCACAAGATTTTTTGAAGTGATCAAGGGCCATAACTCTGACAGTTATTATCGGAAATCGTTGAAAATCAATAGGTTTCTTCGTCTCATGACCTTAAACATTGTGTATAAATTTAAAGTCAATCGGATATTAACTTTGGCCTTTAGAGCATCCACAAGATTTTTTGAAGTAATCAAGGGCCATACCTCTGGTAGTAATTATCGGAAATCTCTGAAAATCAATAGGTTTCTTCGTCTCATGACCTTAAACATTGTGTATAAATTTAAAGTCAATCGGATATTAACTTTGGCCTTTAGAGCATCCACAAGATTTTTTGAAGTAATCAAGGGCCATAACTCTGGCAGTAATTATCGGAAATCTCTGAAAATTAATAGGCTTCTTCGTCTCATGACCTTAAACACTGTGTATAAATTTAAAGTCAATCGGATATTAACTTTGGCCTTTAGAGCGTCCACAAGATTTTTCAAAGTGATCAAGGGCCATAACTCTGGCAGTAATTATCGGAAATCGCTGAAAATCAATAAGCTTCTTCGTCTTAAGACCTTAAACACTGTGTATAAATTTAAAATCAAACAGATATTAACTTTAGCCTCTAGAGCGTCCACGAGCAATTGTGCACGCCGGACCGACGGACCGACGGACGGACGGACGGACGGACGGGGACGACGACAATATACGACCACATTTCAATGTGGGCGTATAAAAACTATCCTTAAAGGAGCGGTTACAGCTACATTTTAATAGAAACGCGATAATATTTTTATAAAAGGCTATTAGAAACTTTTATTCTAATACGATGCCACTCAGAAGCTTTGTGATAATTTTAATACAAGATATACTGATGCTAAAAATGGATATTGCTTATCTGATTTACGTAGTCCTCTTAGGCAAATTCGACGATCATTTTCAAGAGATTCAATACTCTCAGACAAGGCAAGTGCGCCATCTTTGCACATTCTCGCATTAGCTTTGCATACTGTCACATTTAGAGTTATTCTAAGGGTCTCTATACCTAATATCCTACACTACCTAAATATTAAGGACCACAATAACGTACCTGCCACCAGTAAAACAGGAACCATTAGCGGCACCAAATGTAGAACAGGCTACTGATATAGGAATAATAATAGCTGCTACACCTAGCACTCGGGATCCCCATGTCTAAAAATAACAATATGTTCATTTAAAACTGCATTGTACAAGAGGATAAATTATCTATAATAAAAAGTGGTCCTTTGAAAATAATTTCGACGATTAAAACCAATACCACCGTGAGCTCGATATTCATGGATATAAATTCTTTAGAAAGGGAAAACTTGGGTTGTGATGGAATACTTTCGCCCAGAACGAAACATTGTTCATCATGTATTTTGTATGGTGAATAGTCCATTTGCTGATAACACTATTTTGCCAATACCATTTGTTTAGGACTTCGAATGTTGTCTAATGTTTTGGATTGTTGGTACTTGGTTTTATTTTATTGTGGAACGATTTTGAATCTGGTAAATCTGAATAATAAAGATTAACTTACAGCAGCGACGGCATCTGAAGCCAATAATTCAGCTTTGCTCATGATACTAAAGTACGATATATTGGTAAGTAGATAACAAACTGTTACCAAGGGAATAGCTATAATTATTGACCGTGGTAAATTCCTGTAAATGAAAATTACATAAAGGTATAATTTTGACTGTACTTGATCTCAAAGATATATAAAAAAAATAAGCTATTAAAAACCAAATCTGTTACTTTCTGCATTACTTTAGTTTTGTATATAATATGTATAGCACTCAACACAAACAAGGTTACAACGGGACTAACATCTACACGATTGCATGGATGTTTTTATTTCAATGAATCGTTTGAGCCCAGTGTTAGGAAAGTGGAGAACTCTATTCTTTAAAAGAAAAACGGAGTTAGGCAGGGCAGCCTACTCATCACATTGTCAGTACATGTATGTGTCGAAATCACGACTTCCATCGATGACAAGACCTTATAATTCACAGTGCAAGCATTAGTCCACTCGGACTAATTGTGTAGAATTCCGTTTGATTGTTCTACATCCTGAACGATATCAATACCATCATAACTCGGATACATGTACTTGAAGTATATAATTCTTACACGTAGGGATTTTTCAACTCTTCTGTCACATAATTCAGATTATTCCTGTAAAGATAACAATTAAACAGTGTTAGTCGATATCAACATCTGGTACAAAGCCTAAAGGTATCATACCTCGGAAAAAACCCATGCGGGGCATTAAATTTCAATGTCTTTCTTAATTATAACTAATCGAAAAATAAACTAACTTATTTTAAAGCTTGAAAATGGGGTTCTTTAAAATCAAGAAAGTATATGAAATGAATTACCATCCATCATAAGCCCACAATCCATCATAAAAGGCTAAAGCAATACCAGACGCTGACTGAGCAGTGCCTTCAAAACCATCTTCTAGATATTCAGTATTTCCTGAAAGGCAAAGAGACAACACATAGAAATTAATTTGTTCATCTTTAGAAAAAAAAATAACGTATTTTTGTTTTTGTAATTTAATTTTTTTTTTTGTATTCAAATACTTCAATAATTTAAAAAAGATAAACACCATTCATTTCCTTTAATAACTTAATATCTTACATTTTGTTTTGCAGTCTGAGAGGATAAATTGTATTCTCAGCTTCAATAATATTTGCAAAAAGCAATTGTATTAAATGCAATAATAATAATAATAGTAATAATACATCGGTGTTAGTATAGATTATTAGTAGTAATATTATTAGAATGTAAAAGATCATGACGTAGTGTCAAATAAAATTAAAGATTGGTAAAAAAAAAAGATCGTCGAATAACTATTCATTTACAGATAATGGTGTCAAGGTTAAGAATAATTAAAAAAAACTAATTAAAACTTGATTGGTTTCAAGTTTTTACTAGTGATAACATTTATTGTTAAATCAAGTGCCGATATTTATATGATAACTTTAGCTGTTCGAGTTATCGGTAATGACTGATACCCTTTTTCATAATCATAAACAATCTGTATAAATTTCAAATCTACAGCATCCACGGGGTGTTTCAAATTGATCAAGGTCTATAACTCCTACAGTTAGTGTAGGAAATCGCTTAAAATCAAGAGGATTATTCGTAGCATGCACTCAAAGACGAAATTTGCACGTAAGTTTGCCGATGGGAGTGACGACAATATTCGACAAAATTTTAATGTAGGTGAATATAAAATGTAATTTAAAACTATATTATAAGATGTGTTAAATTGTTCAGTATTCTCTAAATATCACTATTCATCTAATTTATGTACACTATTATCAATGTTAACAATATATTCTACTAAATGGTTGATATTCGGTTCTGTCATTCGAGTAAATTTGTATCATACAACCCGGGGTGTTACACAATAGTCATTATCGCATTTCTATTTGCAATATTACAGCAAAATAAACACATGGAGAAAAATGTAAGTAGCATGGCTTCGTGTTATATAGCATTTACCACTTACATTGAAGACTAGATTTATACATTCCATTGCTATTTCATAATCAAGACTAGACTGAATGACATTTTAAAACAACAACAGAATATCAACTAATGTTATTATTTAAAAAGATAATAATCAATTGATCTATAATTGTTATTAATATATTTAACCATTCATTATTTGAATTCAATAATCCTCCTAATTCCCGGTTAGTTCATGCAGGAATTTATTATTGGGGTTTACCTTGACCCAATTTTACTATTCCACCCACAATAATCATGAGTAATGCTGCTAATTTAGCGAAAGTGAAAAAAACCTGGACCCGAGCCGCAAATTTGACACTGGAGCAATTAACCATGGTGACAGCCACTGTTGTAAGATAAATAAAATACACATCACAACAAAAAGCAAGCAATTTGTAGTGCCGAAACGTGCAAATAAGAAAATAAGCAATCCAGAATCATCCTTTTGATAAAACATTAATTTATGATGCAAAAACAGAATATCTGCATCTTAAACCCCATTAGATATTCCTTACATTATTGACTACATTAGCTAATCTCTACTTTTCGATAATAGATACATCGTTTATACATAATTGCTATATTTAGTATAATGGGTTTTTTTATATTTTTCATAAAAATAAAAACTAATATATCGGTTACTTTAATTAAAGTGTATATGCTAAGAGATACTAATATTTACAAATAGAAAAAAGAAGAAGAAATAAAAAGTAAAGTTATACATCATAATAAAGACAGTTACATCAGGCTAAAATTTTAAATAAGTTAACTTCAGGTGTGCAAATACATTTCTGAGAGGGTTCTTTTGAGGTAAGAATGCGCTAACAACTGTCTTTAATATAAATAAATACACAAACAAACAAACGAACAAACATTTCAAGCAAACAAGCTATGATTATTATACAAAAATTAACAAAAAAGGTTTAAAAAGTATAAAAGTTATATCAATGCCAACACTATCAGGAAAATTCTCTGCAAGCAAAAATTCATCAGCACACTATACACCGTACAAACCTTCAGCATATTTTACAAATCCGCCAATAGTGATGACCACAATAGCTAAAAGCTTAGCAAATGTAAAGAAATTTTGGACCTTTGTGGCCAGGTTAACACTGTAGCAGTTGATAAATGCCACAAGCACTGAAGTAAATGGGAAACGAAGAAATATTAATGCATGAAATATGTTATAGGAATATATCACTGGATTGACATCACATTAACTAACTTTATCCATTTGATTGTCTGTTTAAATAAACCCGAATTTTGATGATTCTAATCAAAGCGGACCATGTCAAGTTCATTAAAATTGGCTTAAATATTTATAAAATACTGACAACCTTTTATTGCCTTAGTTCTACGATGACTAAGACCAATCGAAAGACCACAAAATTCATGACATGGCCGTATGCATCGGTTGAATTTTATGTAAGATATTCCAGAGTTTCGCTCTCTGTGAACATTTTTAATATTTAGTCTCCTATATTATTAAAGTCTTACAAAATACTGCCAATACTTAGATTTGAAATGAATGTGATAATGGTTTATAACGACGTACAGTGATATACTACTTACATAAACATAAAGCAGACACCAGTTTAACCAGACCCTCTGGTGGGTCACATCCTTTAAAGAACGGCTCCACGGTGTATATACCAAAACTTAAAGCTATGACCGCAAATAATGACGGTTTTAATACAAGGACAGAAACCCAGGCAAATAAATATGCTGGAATAGGTGCCAACCACCTGGGAAGACATTTCGAAGCTTCTAATATATAGGAATATTCAGCTCCAGATTTGGTTATCAAGGTTCCTAACTCTGCATACGATAGTGCTCCTGAAAGAACATTAATTGCAATTTACTTCTAGGTTCTTGAAATGGATATCGACTAACAAAGATGCAGTGTTGAGATGATTTAGACACGATTATTTCGTTGTTCCTGGTACTCTACGTTTCGTATTAATGTTCGGTCTTAAGCTTAAATCTCTTTAATTATTATGGAGTTAACGCTGCACATAATCAATGTACATATAGTTAAATCGCCAAATGGTTATCAAGACGCGGAGTACATTCTCGAGCAGCGTCTCTTTGCAGTTAATAAATGTTAGTCACCCAGTTTTCGGTTCATATTTGATAAAGATGAAAATATACTGTTGGGACGCATATCATAATGGCCGATTCTCCTCCGGAAGTGTTTAGCAATTTTAAACGGATCAACGACGAATCGTTTAATTTGTTATTAGCGCTAAACATGGTCTGACTAGTAAGCCTATATCTAATATTCGTTCATCTCAACAATGCACCTTTGCAATAAAGTTACTGAAGCCGCAATACGTGACAAATACGTGTCCATTGTGACAAATTCAGTATAATTTACAAATTTACATCCTATTATTTTCTGGATGTATTCGACCGATATAGGTGTTTATGAATAGGTGATGTTGCATTTTCGGGTGACAAATTCAAGCTCCATTGACTAACAACGCCGCTTGATATCACCAATGGGATATATTTGCACAAAAATGGCAAAAATAGGTTGCCAGGCAACGAAACATACGCCCACAGCAGCTAAATCGTCCATGCGGTCGACAAGGGTTGTCGCATATTTATTCCTTTGTAGTTAATTGGGGACCTTTACAAGACAGTTCCATACAGATCAGATTATAATTTTTGTCGTTTGAGGGTTCAGAGGCTTCTACAAACTGAAACAAGGGCCTCAGCTCTGGAAGTAGTCTACAGAAATTGTTGACATTTGACAGGCTTTTTCGTTTTACTAATTTAAATAATGCATATAATTTCATACAGATCGGATGATCACATTTGTTATTCAAACCTTCACAAGGTTCACAAATTAAAACAAGGGTCATAATTCTAGAAATTATTGATGGAAATTGCTGAAATACAATAGACCTCTGTTTCACAAATTTAAATGATGCATATAAATTTCATACATCGAACATTAACAAGGTTGAACAAAGTGAAACAAGGGCCATAACTCTAGAAGTAATTATTGTAAATTGCTGAAATAGGATTCGTGGTTTCACTAATTTAAATAATGCATATAAATTTCAAAAGATCGGATGACAACTTTCGGCGTTAGAGCGTTCACAGGGTTCAATAAAGTGAAACGAGTCATAATTCTAGACGTAATAAACGGAAATTGCTTAAATTCAATAGGATTGTTCTTTTTACTAACTTAAATGGCACATATAAATTGAACACAGATCGGCAGATAACTTTAGAGGTTAGAGCGTTCACAAAGTGCAGCAAAATGACACAAGGGCCATAACTCTAGAAGTAATAAATGGAAATTACTGAAATTCCATAGGATTCTTCTCTTTACTAATTTAAATGGCGCGTGTAAATTGCATACAGATCGGCAGATAACTTTTGATGTTAGAGCATTCCCAAGGTGCAACAAAGTGAATCAAGGGCCATAACTCTAGAAGTAATTGACGGAAATTGCTGAGATTCAATAGGCTTCTTCGTTTCACTAATTTCAATCATACAAATAAATTTCACAAAGATCGGGTGATTACTTTTGGTGTTAGAGCGTTCACAAGGTTCAATAAAGTAAAACAAGGGTCATAACTCTAGACGCAATAGGCTTCTTCGTTTCACTAATTTAAATAATGCATATAAATTTCAGAAAGATCGGATAATAACTTTTGGCATTAGAGCGTTCACAGGGTACAATAAAGTGAAACATGGGCCATAACTCTAGACGCAATGAACGGAAACTGCTGTAATTCAACAGACCTTTTCGTTTCACTAATTTAAATCATGCATATAAATTTCACACAGATCGGATGATAACTTTTGGCGTAATAGCGTTCACACGGTTCAACAAAGTAAAACAAGGGACATAACTCTAGACATAATGAACAGAAATTATTAAAATTAAATAGGTATCTTCATCTCACTAATGTAAACCACACATATATCAATTTTAAAACAATCGGAGTTAAGAGATTTTACAAGAAATTCTGGACGGTGGACGGACGGACCGGCGGACCGACAGACGGACGGACGGATGGACAAGGGCGACGGCAATATACGTCCACATTTCCATAAAAATGCTTTAATAATTCAGTACATATATATATATATAAATGTAAGTCACAATTGGTATAGTCAATTTGAATGATCAATGGCCATACATATAACTTTCAGGAACTCCCAGGGTCTGGGTAAGAAAATAAATTGTAATATTAACGTCACACATTTCGCAATGTAATGATAATGACCAGACCTATTTGATTTAAGTTAAAAAAAAAGGATAAAATTGTCAAAACGAAAAAATATTATCGTTTAGATTTTTTCTTATCACTAATTAACACATCTGATCAACCCAATCTTTGCCATAAAGAAACGCAGTGGGGTTTAACGTCCAACTTTTTTGCAATAAATCAAAGAGGTTTAGTTCCTTTAAGGAAATATTGCAAGATGACCCTAAAATTTTCCACTGAAAATAAATGAATTGGATAAACACAAAACACATTAATTAAATTGATGAAACCTGGAATAAAAACAAAACTCTTCTTATAGTGTTGGGAAACATGCAGAAAGTGATATACAGGTTATAATGTCTAGCTACTCATCATCGTATTAATGTTATAGTGTTAGAACTCCACGACTGGGCGGATACTTACATATGGCTGCTGCGGCCATGAGCTTTTTAATGAGCTCGGGTGGTCCACAGCCGTCAAATATGGGTTCACAAACATACTCCGCGAAGGCAAGACATATGACAGCCAGAGTTGATGGTTTTAAAACAATCACCGATGTCCATGCGACTAGGTAGGCTGGAATGGCCCCCAGTCCAGTGTATAAATAGATATATTCAGCACCGGAATGTGGAATCATCGTCCCTAGTTCTGCATAGCTCAGGGCACCTAGTTATCAAAAAAGATAAAACATGTCTTCAGAAACCTTGAGAGATAAAAGTTATCTCCCTTCAACGACAACTTACCCATGCAATAATTATATACATTAACCATGCAAATATTTGGGTAGAAAAACACAATTGGTATGGTTAATAATTATTGTTGAGATGGTGATCAATTTTAGATTACGTGTTACACACATTTTAGTCCTATTAATTTAGATATTGGTTTTGAAAGAAAGTGACGTAGACGAGCCTATGATTTTGGGGCCATACAGTCCAATTTTATCAACAAGGCAGTGCATATGGGTGATTATGTAAATTATGAACTTTAATGCTACTGTTGGTTTTCAAGCATAGTTTCACGGCGCACTTCAGTAGTTTCTTACGACTGGCATATCTTTTTGAAAACAATTAAGTTTATAATGAGACGATATACCAAGTGTGTTTTTATCGTTCAAGCAATATAAATATTTGTGATGAAAATGTGGACTTGTGGATATGATGATGATTAAGTACTTCATGAAACATTACAAAACAACTTTATTCTGATACACGATGGCATTATGATGAAACAAGAATGGCTTATCCTACACTATACATTTTCACCTTACCACATATGGAAATGAGACCACATCCGGCCCATACAATCATACTGAGACCAACAGATCCGGTTCCTTGTAGAACTCCTTTGGGGGAAATAAATATTCCCGATCCTGGAAGATACCAAACACTAACAATTTTAGATAATTCCAAGATACGTTTTTACTTAACAGGCCGAAAATATATTCCTATTAAAAATTAATAGTTTGGAAGATCAATAATTAAATTCAAGACTTTTAATTAATATGTTAATTTTCAAAATGGATTGTTTGTTATGCCCTACACGTTCTTTACAAAATGCTCCCTCGTGGCTCCTGGTGTCTGAATCGGGTTGGTGTAAATACATCTTAAATGCTAAATTGTACCAAGTTTTCTTGAAATAATAAATAATCCTTGCACGACAGCCCCACGTCCTTGAACGAAGCATTTGGTCATGGATGAAGTTCCGTGGTTAGGAGGGATAAAATCACCAAATCTATAAATGATCCGGCAACAGTAGAGCAGTGCATACCAAGCTCGTTGGAATCGCGTTTGATTTTTTTCATTCTATAACATCTTAGGTTCCAATCCTACCTATCATAGTTCCAACAATCAGTGCAACACCACTGACTAGGCCAACTCGTTTCTTTAAAGTTACTTCTTCCTCTTGTATCACAACACCATTTTTAACACCATTAATCTTTTTTTCCTCCATGATACCTAGAAAACATCAACAATGAGATAATAAAATATTTCTTGTAGCAACGGCTGCTTATACGTCTACAAATGTCACAGCTGTTGCTGAAAACAGGAAGTGTGGGTGCCCCCAAACTGCAATCGTTAAAATATCGGACACCGAACCGATTGCGTAAATAACGGATTTAAATTTAAGAGTATGGCGACACTGTCACATAGTTCCCGAAGCAACTCCCCTCTAACCGCAAAATTGCTCGGTTATTGCACTAAAAATATTTTCTTTTTTTCAGAATGTTGTTAAAGACATTGGAATCTTAAATACGCTGGAGTCCAAACATTTGTTTACCAATATTAAAAACACTCCGAACTTTGAATAAAACCCACCCTTGTTTATGAGGCATCTGTTATGGTAAATAACTAAATACTATTTCAAATAGCTATAATAAATTTTATTTTGACTAAGGATGACCCTGTGAAAAGTAAAATAGGTGCCTGTTCTCTTTCATGAAAAAATGATTAAAAGATGTAGGCCTACATAAGATATATATATGAAAAATACTGTACGCATCGGTATACGTATATTCATTATAAAGTGTGCAAGTTTCGCTCGAGTAAGGCTATTACTTCAAGACGAGTGAATATATTATGTGTGTGTTCTCAATCGTTTCACAACGTACAGGTGAAAGCAACATTAAACCCATTGCATGAAAAAATATGCAGTTAGCCTCCTACCTTTCTGCATTAACCGGGTTAAGAGGGCGTGGGATGTTTAAAGCAACAAAGGAATACATAACCGAATGACAGATATGGTAATAAATGTGGTATTTTGTAAATATATGTTATCATCTCTCATTATACCTCAAAACTAAAGGCAACGATTATATCTTTGAAATGTATATATTCAATTCTACCATATGACGCTTTGGTGGTTGGGGCTGACTAATATATGATGATACGATGTAGATATTACCAATTAGTTTTATGTATGCAAATATGGAAATAAAGCTGTTAGATACTGGTACGTTTATGCTTTATGTCCGTCACTTGAATACGATATATATATATACAAGTCCATAACCATCCTTAATTGAAACCTCAGAACTTATGTCACGTACGCCAAGCAAGGATATTATCACAATTGACTGGTTCTCTTCTACAAGTTAATAATCCAACAAAACGCAGCCGTTTGTTTACTCTTTATATTACCACAGTAATTCCTGTCAAATGCATTTGTCCTGTTCTCTTATCACATGTTTAGCGAAAGGAAATCCTGTTTACGTGCAAACATTTAAAATAAGGTAGAAATACAATATTGACGTTAAAGATAAAAGTTATCTGTATAGCTTTAAATATTGCTGAGAAAATATTCTATAAACAAATCTACAAAACAAAACACATTATACAAAACCAATTTCCTACAATTTCATGATTTCGGAATCTATATAAAATATTAATACATGTACGCATCTACTATATACGATTCGTAACTGCCATAATTGGTCGTTTTAACTATATTCTATATATGTTTCTTCGTGAACTCTTCCTTGAGATATGACACTAGACGGCCGATACAAATGTACGCATACTCTGTGATTTGTATAAAGAGCACCAGCAGAGTCACAATCCAGTTGTTTACAATGGCCACACTTCTTCTATTTGGGTTATAAACGTTGTCGATTTTATCGTAATTTTGTTTTGGGATGACAAACTGTGTCCATTTAAAATTTTAAATCTATAGATAAAACCGCTGTTGAGAAATTACCGATTTTATCTTCCTGTGTAGATGATAAAATTAGTAAACTTTTTAATCTTTCAAAACAAAAATGTAATCTTGTAAAGTCTTTCCTATGACTAATAAAAATCACATATCAGATCAACTCAGTTGTATACTTTATTTTGATCTAGATCAAAGAGGTTTAGCTCCCTTAAAATACAAGGACAACCCAACAGTAAATAGGAGATATATTAATTGATTGTACATTTATCTTTATAAAGCATCGATCAATCATCCAGCTTATTTTAGCCTAACAGAAAATATTCATGCTCTGTATGTAGTGAAACTATACACTACGTTTCATAACTCTCAGTCACAGTTATCGTGTCGAAAGCATCAACAAATTAACCCCGTCAGAAAATGCTTAGTCAAGTTTGAACAGGGTTAATGTATCCCAAAAGGTGTGACGGTGAGGTGGACAGACAGACAAGCGGACGGATCCAGCTTGCTAGTTCGCTGCTTTCTTCGAAAGGCGGCGTACAATTAAGTTTGAAGACAAAAGTTAAACTTTGGTTCAGTTTAAAATTAATGAACGCTATTCAGATTATAAATCTTAAATAAAGAAAATGTTATTGACATGCGAGTATTAAACATGTATTACAAAAACGTTTAAAATCAATGTCAACAGCACAATGACGCAATATAACCTTCATACGATCGATAAGACAGTACGTGCTGATAGTAACGTTCTCATGAAATAAACCTAAAATGAACATCGTGTGAATGAAAAGTGTACTCAGAACGACCGACTTTGCTATTAATAGTAATAGATCATTTAAAGTGGAATTCGTAATTCCAACTATATCTTAAATCGTTATCGAAATATTGCCTCTTAATCTACCATGTTTTAATATTGTATTAATAAAAGCTGAACAACTAATTTAAGGAGGTTTGGGCAGTTTGGCACATGCGATAAACTAAAATTAGATCACTACTGCTATTTATTATAAAGACCAAACATTTCAACGAAGTAGTAGAAATGGGTAGCCCGCAAAAATACGTCAGTAATACATATTTATAACATAGTGTAAAAGTAAATATTCAAGATGGAAGCAAATCCTTACAACCACCCTGTTGTCGTAGTCTTGCAGAGAATACATAATTTTTATATTTTATTTATTACTATATTCCACTTTGGAAGATAATTCTTTAAATCTATCATCTTATAATCTAATTGACAAATTACCGCGTGAAGGGGTTATAAGATTATCTTAATTTACGCACTGTTGATAAAGTTAGCAACCAGTAAATTCGTTCGTGAGATTTACATAATTGTGTCCGTCTTTTTCAGTCCAGTTGAACGTTAAAAACGTGTTAAAGAGGTATTAGAAACTGGTAATAGGTTCCTCGCTAAAAATAATGATGCTCGATTTAATTTGATAATGGCTATACAAGGCTGTCTTTGATGCAATTTATCAATAATGTCAATTTGTAGAAACACTCAAAGACACATATCGAATTATGCAGTTCTTTCTTTGGGCCTCAAGTGATATAAATATACATTATTAATTAGACATTTATTCACATGACCAGCTCATAATCAACTTTCTAGATCATCGGATGGTCACGATTTTCAATGGATTGAAACCCGACCGCCATTTAATGATAATCAAGACTTCGTTTATTATCGTAACAATGGTAGAAATGAAAATCCAGACTACGCTATTCTTATCAAAACTTTAAACACTAATAACTTCGCTCAGAATAAAGCAATTTGGCCGGAAATTTCAATATATTCCTTTTTCATTGTCTATTTTTAAATAGCGAGAATTGCCAACTCTTTATCTAAATCTTACATAATGCAACTTTAAAGATTCAAGAATTAGTTTGCACTATAATAGACAGGAAGCGTTGTTTTATTTCATATTTTCAAAACTTATGCAGTAGTGATGTGTTTTGTTTCTAACATGAATTGCTTGGGTTTATTTTTCTGATATCAGCTCTTACTTTATATTACCGTGATCAAAGCATAGCCCTTTGTACAAACTCAAAAACTATCGGTTACTTCGCCTGAATTCGTCAAGGCTTGAAGTCATAAAACGAAACTGAGTGTTAAATTGATAAAACCGTTTTTGCAGATACATGTATTAGTGACAGTGGCGTGCAGAGGTTTAAGTGGTGCGCGGGGATAAATCCTCGATTGTACGCCCTTAAGAGAGGGCAAAGTACATGTTAAATAATATATGCCAAAACAATGTCAGCAGGGATAATTTAAAATTTTAAAAAATATATTATTTATTTTTACTTTGTCATTAGATGCCCCCTGAAATGGATGCCAATTGCCGTCGCCCCTCTGTCTCTGCACAGCACATCACACATCACTGAGCAGTATAGTGAAGATATAACAATAAATATTTATCGTTGAATCGTTTGTTTTTATGATATATCGTCTCAATGACTTAACAACATCGGTTGTTTTCATGACGACACCCTGTTGAATAATAGTAAGAGGGCTTTGAACCTACAGACATGATTTTAAAAAAATTACAAATTTGGACATAATGCAACTTAAAAATTTAAATAAAGTAAAAGAATCACATTTGTGACCTAGAAAAATAAATTATAGCATAAAAGTCGTTAATAACGTCAGAATAAATAAATAAAGGAAGAAATCCGTTTGTCGTTATGGCCTGAAGTCGTGGTTTAAACACTATAAACACATTTTACCTGACTGGTGGCCGTACACGTAATGGTGGTATTTTTAGATTTAAAAGTGAATAGCGTCCCCCATTCATATGTTTTTGACTACAAATATTTTTTTATTCGATGTTTGAATATATTTTCTAACCCATGGTTAGGTATTGAAGTTCTTGGCGGTCGAGGAAACATATCTAAAATGTCAAACTTCTAGTGTATAGCAGTGACAAAAGCTATGTACATAAAATGTCAAAATAGTAAAGTTTGTTAAAACCGGTTTTAATATCACATTCGTATGTTCATCTAAGCGGAAAAGAATATCAACTAATGGTGACCCTTGCGGAACACCGACTGTTATTATTTCATGAATATCATATAAACCCTTGACCGTGTCAATTATTAAGAGGTTTTGCTGTCTGTTCGTTTTTTGACCATTGTTGCTTAGGTCACAAAAGAATATAAAAGTTTACTTTTGACCTTAAACTTTTTAAAGATTGTTGCTTATTTATAATAAGAAAATTCTGTTTAGATAGTCAGACTAAGAAAATCAGACTAGGGCGTAAATATGTCTTCACGCACAATACCTTAAACATAACTATGTGATGTGAGTAGGATGTTTGACATGTTCATATACGAGCGATTAAACAAATAGAGGCTCTATAACTATGCATACCTGTGTTCCTAATTGAATTCGGTTGTGTTCAAGCAATCTGGGTCCACTGTTATATCCAACAGACACACTTATTAATGCATAGATACTCAGATATCCACATTTATCAAAGTTTGTGAAAATCCAGCGTCTTCTACCTGTGACTATCACGCAGAAATGCACTGGACGTCAAAACACACTGTTTGAACTTCTTCAATGCGAGCTCCTTTGAGATGGAAATGTGAACTTTTCGGTTGACTAAGCTAACGCCTTTGTGGCCTGATAAACTATTACCGTGTCCTTGAATTAATTGTATATCTAGTGGTCAGCTTAATTCAAAACACTAATTAATGAATGGTGGTTGGTGGCGTATCAAAACAGGGCGCCCTGGGGGCACGAGGAAGTTATTTTGTGTTTATTGACTGCGCTGCGTTGCACAGCACACTCCCCTAAATCGCCCACTAAATCAAACTGTGTAGCAATTGTCATGACAGAATTGACAGAATATAAGATTACCGTTACAATTTTGTGATAAGCGATACAATAACTTAACATTTGTTACTGTATATATTTCTATACATTAAAGTAGAAGTACAAGTACTTTTATGTTTACTGTTGATAGATACATAAATAAATAAAAAAAATACTTCCAGGTAAAAAAAAATGCACCACTTTACTTCATTCTGACATACATTAAATCATATAAGCTAGCTATGTGCCCCCAGTAGGCGTCTTTGGATATTAATAATGTATACAGATTACTTTACAAGCATGTGTATTGTGTAACACAATGACATTCGCCGATTTTATGCCTTCTTATTGGTGGGTTTGTGGTCAGCTTAAGTCGCAAAGGCCATGTGGACCTACCATGTAGGACATTCCAGTACTCCCACGCCTGCGTTCTGATAGCTACCATGGGTAGCAGGGTAGCAGGGTGTGTAAACTAATATATATATATATATATATATATATATATTTAGCTTTCGTTTACTTCTACTCCCGCAAGGATGAGTGACAGGTTTGCGATATAGTCATAGGTAACCAACAAAAAAACAACAAAAGAGATGTATATAGTCATTTGGTCGGATCAAGTAGTAGGTCGGAGCGACTCTTCCTTTGATTCTCTTTGTTGGGTGGGCCTTGGGCCTAGCCCATTCTTCCTTCCGTTAGTCAGGTATTGTGTATTTTTGGTTATTGTGGATCCTTTTATTTTTGTTGGAAGTTCTCTAAAGGATGAATCCAGTAGGGTTATACCACTTATCATACCTCACTGTACTTCATACAATAGACAAAAGGAGTGGACACCCAGGTGACGAATACTCCATTGTATAACAGCATAAATACAGACCTTTTATTTACACAGAAATTGCGTTAAGTATAAAAGTATACTACAACAGTAATGATAACTGAAATATGAAAGAGACTAGGTTATAAGAGTCTTTATCGTGGACGGATAGAATAAAACATCAACAATATATATATTAAAATACTGCTATCACGTTGCCAAGAAGACAGCTGCGGGACCATCTTATTTATCTAGGACTATAGAAATAAGTATAATATAAAAATCGAGATACAATTCTCCTTTCCCACTGTAGTCAGATATGGTAGTCTGCTTGAGTGAAAAACGCAGAAAAGTTTGAATGAAATCGTTCAAATAATTCTGGGTGGAAAAAATATAAAAATAAAAAAAAAAACCTAAACTTCTTGGGGTTTATGGATAACATTCTTCGATATTTAGAATCACCTACATGTATATTGATTGAAGCTGTTTTAATAATATCTTTATTTAAGAAGGGTAAAGGATTAGGCTTTCTACCATCCTGCCCTTCATGAAAAATATAATACAATAGATGATAGCATAACAAATAAAAGAGAGGGATGAATAGGAGTATAAAATAATCAGAATGAAATTATAATACAAAAGATGACAGCACCAAAGGAGACAGATATAATAACACATACACCCCCCCCCCCCAAAAAAAATAAAATTGAAATAACTAGTAGCCTATCCTGCGGGTCGAGGTATAATGTATCATAGTAACATTACTGCTTGACGTACCGTTACGAAAAATGTCCAACCGTTAACGGGAAATGGGGTTTGTTAATGTTCACCGGGAAATTATGGAAACCCAACAGATGTGCTAATTACACATAAACAATTGATATGTGAAGTATCTTGCGAAATACCATTCATGTAATTCGAGTAAATGTAAACCAAACATCACTGAGATGACAGTTATTAATTAGTTGCACATTTATCAATTGATAAATCATCTTCAATAATATAAGCAGCAAATGCGCGTTATCTATTGCTGCAGTGATGAAATTAAATACCAAATTCCATCACTTCCCCTCAATGAGAAGCAGAGTTTGGGGGTTCTAAAGTCTCAGCAAATCAAATAGCGCATCTCTACTTAGCCTAAGCAGACAATGCGCATCATCGAGTAAAATAATCGCTCAGTAGCTTAGAGACGGCTTTCGTATTTACGGAGATGGAACATTTTGGCGCTCGACAATTCTTTTAGGGAAAGTTACTTAAAGGGAAATAACCCCGCAGTTACAATTGGGGTCATGTCAATCTTTGTTACTTGTTCAGTATATAATTGATGAAAAGGGTTTAAATGTTGAATTTGTGCGACCTTTTTATATGATATCCGACTGATGGATCACGGACCTACGTTTCGGAAATTAAAAACAACATTAATATTATCACTTCGCCTATAGTAACATAATCAAGCCGACAATTACCGTCAAGATTATGTGACATAATGACGCTCTATGGTGATGAAAAGGTTAGACTCCTTAAAATGTTTTCGGAAATGTTATATCTTCAGGGATATAATTAGTAGCCTTACTAAATAGTAAAAGGCAGCGTAAGATGAGTTATGTCGGCATATACAATGGTACAAAATTAACGATGACCTTCATAATTCGACTCACATACTGAACACCTTAAATTAACCTACAAATATACACGTTGTTCTCTATTCTTCGATATATTAATTAAAATGTGGTTGCAGTCGAAGTACGAGGTTCACCACATGTCATTGGTGAAATAATGAACCCTAAAATCGTACCATTAGTTTAGAACAGTTTGGATGACCGTTTTTACGCACACCATACTAACTTACCGTTATTTTGATTAAGTAATAGTTTCGTGGATTGTTTAAATGAATCCTTCATCGTTATAAATATATGGTTTTTATTTTCTACGCTGTCCCACCACTTGATAAATACTCTTAACTCTGAAATAAAGATTTTAATTATTATAGTTCATAATTCCTACAATGAACATACATTTTGTCATTCAAAATACACAATATTGAAAAAAAAGTCTTCAAATCTTTTCTAAGTTGCAGAGAGAGAGAGAAATCTGGTTTAACGCCCACTCGACACAAAGTAGGTCATTTCGGGACTAACATATGGTTTAATTTTATTTCAATAATTCGCTTGCGCATAGGGGTCTTTTAGCAGTGGGAGGAAACCGGAGGACCCGGAGAAAACCCACGAGGTTGGACAGGCGACCCTACTCCTTGTCACGTACAACCGGGGATTCGAAACCACGCCAGTTGACTCAATGACAGGCCGTATGATACAGCACACACGTGCTAACCATTCGGCCACCCAACCCCCCTTCTAAGTTGCAAGTTTTAATAGCCTATAGAAACAGACACATTGTCTCCAATCCCGACATTTTTATTCTTGAGTCTTTATTGCCTTTATTTATTCAAAAATGCCTGTCCAGCCTCGTGGGTTTTCTCCGGGTACTCCAGTTTTCTCCCACTGCTAAAGACCCCTACGCGTAAGCGAATTATTGAAATAAAATTGAGCAATGTGTTAGTCCCGAAATGACCTTGTTTGTGTCGAGTGGACGTTAACTCCATTTCTCTCTCGATATTCAAAAATATATATCAACATTAAACTGTCCGAAGAGTTTCAAAGTTTAATCTCCACATTAATGATTGACTAGCAATGTCTTCATGAGAAATAAATGTACGAGGTTATCTAGACAGATTTTTCGCTATGAAAATCCATAATAATTGCTTTTCCACGAAATATATTCCGCCTTGGAAGAGTCCCGTGGGTAGAACTTATCAGTCTATGTGATTCAACGAATGAATGAAATATTACATTAAACCTATTAACTGACTCTTAAACATTGTAAAATAGTCATTCTGATTTTTCTAATTCCATGCCAGACAATTTCTTTTAATGTTGCCACGATGGGGTTGCTAACAACACTACAGTGTTAAGTCTTTATTTTATTTTCTCTTCCCATGTTGTCTTTGGTCTTGTAACTGGGATAGGTGATATTTTTTCTTTCATTCTTATTGTGGGGGGGGGGGGCTACCGTCACAACAAGATCCGAACATACAACTCTAATACAGTTCTAACCGCTGCCCTCACATGAACCCCCATCCCCGCCCAAAATGCCCCGCCCATCTAGCACTTCACCATTGTTTATATATTGTATACGTTTAAGATACATAGTTCAGTTACACTATGTTTAACATAGTTCAGTTACACTACGTTTAAGATAAATGGGCCAGTTACACTACGGTTACGTTAAATAGTTCAGTTACACTACGTTTAAGATAAATAGTAACATAAATAACCCGATTGATTAATCTTCCTTGGGTATAAGCATCTGCGTTTTGTTACAAAATTATATCTTTGATAATCGAATGGCTGACATTTAAGAAACATGGCTATTTACACAACATTAAAACGGCAGGGATCTATATCGGATCAATGAGTGACATGCGATTACTTTGGCCTTTTATTTAATGTTTACGTATCTAAATATGTATAAATTCCTAGGTTTGATGACCCGAGGGTCTGTTTACTTATAGGAAAAGAAAGATTACCATGCCATTACGTATATGTAACAGTTATAAACTTTCTCCATACTGTATAGTACTGATCACGGTTATTCACTATCGTTATCCTTCAACCTGAAGTGGATGACCTGATAGAAACATGTTTCCAGATTGTGCACATCTAGAGCAGGTATTGACGTGATACAGGAGCAGTTCTACTGGGCTGCCAAAATCTTGATATTTAGACCCATTGTATATATAACTAGCAAGTGCACTTCATGATAAAATATATTTGTTTGAAATCGATCATGTACACCACGCATGGTGTTCTGTTAATCCCAAGTAAAATCAGATCATTGCAATTTACAGGAAGCAATATAGATAATGAACACGTGTATCCCGCATTCATTGGTCATCTGGAAATTACCGCATTGTATACCATTTCATTAGTAAACCAGAATCAACAAAAAGCCACATTCTTTTCATTTTATTTAGGCGGGGAGGGGGTTAATAAATTTGGTATCTAAATCTTTGTATTTTGTTAATTAATACCACCAAATTATTAAATGCCAATATAGAAAAGATATGATTGG